GGGCGCGGGCCAGGGAGGGCCAGCCCAAAGCCCGCATGTATGCCTCAGGACCCGAGCTCTGTCCTGGACGGCCTGGGGCCCCCATCAGGGCCGTGGGCCTCTCCCGAGGGCCCCGCTGAAGCCGAAGCAGATCGATTCTGCGCCAGGGCTGGACGCCGACGGGATACTTGCTGGAAGCTATGAGGAGAACTTGCTGAAGAATAGTATCAACAAAGAACTCACTGAGTTCAGGAATGAAAAGCAGGAGAAGGGAAGATGAGAAAGGACCCGAAATCTAATCTTAAGTTATCTTTAGACTTGGCTTTCTGGTGAGGTGAGCCAAAAGACGGGGAGGAAGGAAGGGAGGAGAAAGAAAACAGGGGAAAGAAGCCCGTAAGTGTTAAATCTCATGTAGAAGAGGCTTCTGTGCACTCTCCTGCAGTCTCACGCAGCGTGGACAGTGTAGCAGCCGTGCACCACCGCCAGTAAGTGCCACGGAGAGGCCCCGTGCTGAGTGAGCGCTGTGAGTGACGCGGAGGAGGTGGAACGTGGTTTGGGCACGCCTGGCCTTTCAGAAAGATTTTGCCACCTGCTACCAAACAACATTAATCTATTGATACTTAGATTGAAACAGCAGTACACAGACCACAAGACTAACCGCTTGTAATTGGCACAGCCTGGGATGAGGGTACAAGGGACCCTGCCCCTGTTTTTGATGGTGATAAGCTAAGTGTCTCTTTTCTCTTTTCACATCTGCAGGAACCATTTCTTCCAGATCCTCCTATTTCTCTTTGTTGACCAAGCTGTCACTCCCATATTGCCAGTTTCTTTTCCATTAAGTCTGTTATCATTTATTCTCATCTCACCAGCATCTTCCTTACATTTATACAGGCTCTACTAGTGTGCCTCCTGGGCATGGGGAACACCGGTGTCCAGCCAGGCCACGGCACCCCTCCCTGCCCTAGCCCTGGGTCTGTGACGCCTATGGGAGGAAAATGGGTGAAGGGAGACTAAAAAGGACTCAGGTGGCTTGGAGCCTGGCTATCTGATTCTTGGTTTGAACTTTATTCCTTCTACTAGGAAATTATTTTATATTCCTTTTTAAATGTGATTTTCTTGCTTTTCCTTTCCTCCCTATTCTTTCCTTCTTTATAAAAGATACAATGTGGAGTTAGAATTTAGTAACTGCAGGTGTATTGAAAAGAAGCCAGTTTCTTTAGGGGCTTATATAAGTGACATGTTTTAACTAAGTAATACTTGAGCATTTTATGACCAACCATGAGTAATTGCATATTACTAATGCTGTGGTCCAAGGTAAAATGCTAGCAGTACTTAGAAAGTAGTTGCCAGGAAAATAGCTGGCTGCAAACACTACCTGCTTTATATACTACTGTGAGTACCTCTGTGCAATGATAAACTTTTTCCATTCAGCTTGATGAAAAATACAACGGGAGACTCATGGGGACAGAGGGGACACACTGAGTCCACTACAGACACTCAAAGAGGCACTTACTGCCTTTCAAGGTAAAGTGGAACTAGGTTGATTTTCAGCTTTAATTCAGAAGGTTTAGACATGTTTTCTTCCTGGCCCAAACTCTAGAAGTATAGAAAAGATAGGAAAACAAATAATGGGACCTTTCCTGAAAATAAAAAAGGAATTTGTCAGACTTTAAATGATGAAAAGTCCCCCCAAATAATAAAACAGAAGGACAGGGCTGTAGAATCAATGTCATCTGGGCTGCATATGGAAGATGCCAGAAGTACAAGCACAGGAGGTGGGGGCCGTGTGGGTGGGGCTCAAAGCCTGGAGGCCATGGAAGCCCGCAGACAGGGCACAAGCCGCCACCTGGACGATTAGATCCACTGGGTCAGCAAGGAGGGGTGAGCCCCACTCTGTGCCCCAACTGCTGTAAGCAATTTGCCAAACACAGCAAGGACCATATGTAATGGTAGCACCTGTTTTTCCTCTAGGCTTAAACTGTAATTGGGGACATTGGGGCAGAAAAACAAGGCAATGGTCATAGTGTACGGTGTCACCAGAAAGCAAGAACCACCCGTGTGCTGAGGATCCGCACTCAAGAGTCCCACCTGTCATGTTCGTGTTCTCTCACCTCTACCAAAAAGATAGAGAAGTCCAGGACCCCCTCCCCACCAGACACCTCACCAGTCAAATCAGATTGAAGAAACAAATAAAAGGTGGAGACAGAGCTGTACAAGCATAGATATGATGAAAACACAGAATAGAAATATCCTGTGAGATGGGATTAGAAGAAGAGGGCATAACATGCAAACTATACACACACAAAAAACCCCAACTCAAGATGATAAATAAACTGATCAATGGAAAGAAATTCTTCACAGGTACTTGGAGCATTGGAATATTTAAAATGGATTCATAACAAAGAGCTAAAAATATGAGATGATAAATTATTACCATTTTATTGAAAGAAAGATTTAAGAGCTTAGGAAATGAATTAAGAACAAAAACAAAGCTGATACATGATTAGTTATAACAGAAAGGGACAATATATAGACAGCATATATCAAACTGCTTATGTAGAGGAAGAACTTGATAATCATAGCAACGGTTAATGAAAAGATCAAACCACTAACTAGCGAGAAGTTAATAGACATGGAAAGCAGTCAGACAATTGGAGCTTCTGAAGGAGAAAACTGTAAAGAAGCATAATAGAAAACAAATATAGAGAATATATTTGTAAATCTGACAAGAGGTTAACATCCAAAATATATAAAGAACTTACACACCTCAACACCCAAAAAGCAAATAACCTGAGTAACAAATAGGCAGAGAAGAGACAGGTCTCCAAAGAAGAAATTCAGATGGCCAATAGACACATGAAAAGATGCTCCATATCACTAATCATCAAGGAAATGCAAATTAAAACCACAATGAGATATCACCTCACACCACTAAGGATGGCCAGCATCAAAAAGACTAAGAACAACAAATGCTGGAGAGGATGCGGAGAAAGGGGAACCCTCCTACACTGCTGGTGGGAATGTAAATTAGTTCAACCATTGTGGAAAGCAGTATGGAGGTTCATCAAAATGCTCAAAACAGACCTACCATTTGACCCAGGAATCCCACTCCTAGGAATTTACCCTAAGAACGCAGCAATCAAGTTTGAGAAAGACAGATGCACCCCTATGTTTATCGCAGCACTATTTACAATAGCCAAGAATTGGAAGCAACCTAAATGTCCATCGGTAGATGAATGGATAAAGAAGATGTGGTACATATACACAATGGAATACTACTCAG